CCCCGCCGTAATGTGCTGTGTTGTCTTCTTTATATTATTACAGTAGGCCTACTGTATTAATTATCATCTTCTATATCTACTCCTTTTCCTTTCCCCCCGCTCCTCTTCTGTCTAAAATACAAATTAAATGCCTTAGTGTCAGGTTTTTCTTCTTGTTTTTCTTTCAATCACAACCAAAGAGGTTTTAACTACATGCACATTAAGTAGATTTAATACCGTAATGTATTATTATTGATAAAACCCCTTTGATCAAAACCAGTGCCATGGAAGTTAATTAGTGCCTGCCTTTATCATAACTTTATGCCTTGCCATGTTAGTAATTTTGAGAGTGATCGCCCCTATCAAAGACCCGGAAGTCCTCCATAGAATGTAAACAAAAAAGGAAACCGCTTCAGAACCGACCCTCAAACACACCACAGGCAAGCATATTATTGACTTCGATCTAGATGCAGCTACTACTTTCGACTGTGTAGACATTTTCCCCTTACGTGGTTTTATAGGAAAACGATGGCTGACGACAAGAATAAATTGCTTCCACACAGGTGAGGGTAGACCCTACTAATCTACACTGTTTGCATTTCATCTGCCTTTCTAACCGCCAGGCTATACTTTCACTCCGACTGACTCAAGACTCAAGAGCCCCAGACTGTCTGTGAGAACAAGCGGATAGCTAGAGAACGACAACTGAACGCCATTGGACAATATTTATAGTAACAGCCATCTTGTTTGATCTGCCTTGTCATCTGATCAGGCCAAGTGATGATTTTGCGTAGCGCGCGGTTTGCACTGGCAATTTGAGTTTCCAAGCTTCCCACTTTGAGTTGAAAGAGTCTTTCCTAGTGGTTCCCCCCAATCCAAGTATGTATACTGCTTTTGCACCTCACAGTATCCATTTGGGCGTACCTCCATTTGCAAACCTTGCAGTCTCAAAATAGATCAAGATCTAATCTAGATCTAGATCTAGATATCTAGATCTACTCCATTTGCAGCTCAGCATCCATTTGAGTTTGGCCGGCGTTATTCGGACTCGAGTCCGAATAACATTTTTTCATATTCGGACTTGAGTCCGAATAAAAAAAATTCTTATTCGGACTCGAGTCCGAATATGAAAAA